CCCCCCCCGCTCTCTTTCTCTCTCTCTAAAAATAAACTTTAAAAAAGATTTCAAAAACATGTAAATAAAATTGTGCTTTAGGGGTGTGTATGATGGCCTCCTAGGATGGAGGAAGGGAACCCAGTAGGGAGTTGGTAGAGAAGTGTGCTGATGATTTTCAGGCTTTGAGTTGTGCATGACCATGATTGATTGAGGGTAGCTGGCTGCAGGACTAGGTGTTAGAGCTGGGTACTGTGTACGTGTGGCAGGGTGGGCAGGGGTGACCTTCCGTGGCTTGGGTATTCATGGAGATTACAGGTGAGATGGAGGAGGGTAGAAGAGGACTTGGAGCACTCCGGACCAGATCTGGTGTACAGGCGAGGTGGAGAGCACATGGCTGGTTGTACATGCACAGCGAGCTGGTGGCAGGTCACCACCTCACAACCCATGTCACTTCTCCGCAGGGGCTCCTGATTTCTCTTACAGACAGGAGTGCCCCCGCATGCCCTGCCAGTGCCCCGACCCCGTCTTCTCAGCTATGAGCACAGCTTCAGCCCGATGAAAGTGCTCATCTAGCAGTCACGGTCTCGGGGGAGGCTGCATATCCTGCTTTTTAGCTGTGCAGAACCGTTTTCTTTTTGATTGGGGTGCAGATTAGACATCCAATGTATGTGTCTTAGGTCATGTCCCTAGAAGAGCTTGAGGAAGTGACCTCGCTGCAGGTGAAATGGAGGCGGGAGAAGGAGAGGGCAGGGGAAAGGGTCTTCTTCCTTGGAGCCTGTCTCAGCCCCACGGGGAACTCAGGAGCTTGGCTGGCATCACGGGGCTGCCCCCTTCTTGAGTGAAGGGACCTGGAATTCTGTCACCCTCCCGTATGAGTTGGTCGTTGGCTGCAGGCAGCTCTTGGCGTGAGGGTGGGAGTGTGGCACTGGGCCCCTCTGCTGAGGGCAGTCACCCTGAGGGTAGCCTTTAGGAGCCGGCGGTGGCTAACACATGGCGGCTGGGGGATGGGTGGGGAGTCAACAGCAGATGCCGCTTGAAGGATGTCTGCGGTCCGCTGCACCCTTGTGACCACCCCACCCCCATCACATAACATTCCCAGCATTCCGTAGGCTCCCTCCTGCCCCCTTCCAGTCAGTATCCCTTCTCCCAAAGATAATTGCTGTTTGATCTCTGTTACTGTAGGTGAGTTTTGCCTGCTGAACTTGGTGTGAGTGGAGTCATATCCGGTTTGTTCCCGTTTTCCGGATTTGGCTTCTTTGGGTCCGCATTTCTCCGCGTTCCTCCACACTATAGTTGATGCATTCTGTACTTATGGGTGTGTGTAATGTCAGGTGTGCACTTACACTCGTGCTGGGTTCTGCACACACTTAGGCTTCGCTCTAGTGCACACACCTGCAGTGTGTGGAGGGGGCCGGTGGCCTTACTTCCTTGTCAACATTCATTATCGTTAGTCCTTTTAATTTTGGCAATTCTGGTGGCGATGTAGTTTCATTGTAGCTTTAATTTTGTTTCCTCGCAACTAATTCTGTTGAGCAGGTACAAATGCATATTTTCCTTAATTTTCTTTGGCTATGATACAATTCTTTCCCCTCATTTAAAAAGCAAAAGGTTATAATGGTCTTTCTTTCATGTATTAAATTATTCGTAATTGTTTCTCCTTTCTTGGGCTGGGTAGAAAACTGAATATGGCCACCTTTTAAATACATCTTTTTTTCCCCAAATTAAATGAGTATTTTAGTGGTTATTTGTAAAGGCTCTGTGTAGCATATGAAACATCATAAGGAAAAGTCCATGCCCTCCTTATAATCTTGTTGGAGAGACAAGACTTAGTTAGAAGTTAAATAACTATTGAGGGCGCCTGGGTGGTCAGTCGGTTGGGTGTCTGACTTTGGCTCAGGTCATGATCTCGCGGTTCGTGGGTTCAAGCCCTGCATCGGGCTCCATGCTGACAGCTCAGAGCCTGGAGCCTGCTTCCGATTCTGTCTCCTCCTCTCTGCCCCTCCCCCACTCGCACTCCTTCTCTCTGTGTGTCTCTCTTTCTCTCTCAAAAATAAACAACAACAAAACTAAATAACTATTGTTACTGTAACTATTGAAGTAATATTATTATTACATTCAAGAATTCTGTTGGGGCTGGTCCAGGAAGAGGTAGAGTTGGTTGGGGCTTAGTCTTGAAGGATGGATAGAATTAGGGTCGGTGGGTGGAAGGGGATACATGGAGTAAGTGTATACTGGATTCCACCGATTCTAAGTCACACAGTTTCCTGATTTTTAGTATTTCTGAAGTCAGGATACATCTTGGTGGCATGAGCTAGTTAGCGCAGTATTTTTTCCCTTTCTTGGAGTGCATAAAAGAATATTTTAGGAGCCATTTAATCACAAGTATAGAAATCCATTGAAAATAACTTAGTAGGGGGAAAAATCTATGGGAGGAATATGGTGCTATTTCAAAGAACGTAAGGACAGACGTAATCCAGATACCAAGTCATCAGGACCCAGGTGGTTACTCGGTTTTTCTCCCCAAGCTGTGCTGTCTCCTTCATTCTTGCCTCCCTGCCCACTGGCTTTCTCCCTTTTTCTTGCACATGATCTCAGCAGTGTATGATTTCCTAGTTTAGGTGTCCAGCTGGGGCAGTTGGATCTCAATTGCATTCCTCAGGAGAGGAAATCTGATTGGTCTGAGTCAGCTTTTCGCCTGATGAGCTGAGTCTGGGATGAGGTTGGGGTCTCTGGTCCACATAGAGCAGTATAGATGTGTGAGTTGTAGGGTGTGGATTCTCCAAGAGGGGAGTGGTTGTTAAATGGAATGTCTAGGTTCCTATGGACATAGACGGAGATGTGGAACAGGCTGTTGATTGTACCTGTGTGAAATGAGGGAGAAATCTGGGCCAGACATGCAGATTTGGTAGTTACCGGCAGATAGATGACTCAGAAAGAAGTCCCTAGGGAGAAGGCCTGGCGTTTGGGATGGGTTGTGGCCTGCAGGGTATTTTAACATCTAATAAGTGAGGAGAATACTTAGGAAAGAATCACCCCTGGTGGAGGGCGGGGTGGGGGTGGTGGGGAGGAGGCGTGACCACAGTGCCAAGCGCTGCAGGGAGGCACTGAGGCAATACTAACAAGCCACCAGGAAGACCTGGGTGGCTTCGTGGGGACAATACTCCAGGGTGGTAGGGTTGGAAGTCAGATCGCAGCAT